TTACTACAGAGACCCAGTAGAAAAGTTGGGAAGATGTTCTGGGTCCTTCCAAGTGAACCAGGTTACAGTATAAACAAGGCTAAGATATTCTGTCCATGTCATGTGGAGATGGTAGCTTGAAAATGACCCTCCTCTTCTCCAATCCTAACTCCAACCTAATTCTAGGGTAGGAGGGATCCCTGGCTCAAGTTCTAGAGTTGGTATAAGATTTTCTTCTTTTTGGAACAGATGACAAATTGGGGACTAAAGTTAGAGAGCACTTGGCCCACAGAGATCCATGTATCCTTGGGAGAAAAGGCAACATTAACCTATGCTAGTGACCTAGTCTCCCTGGGGTGCAAGCACTGAGGTTATCCTAAACATATGAGTTGAAGCTATTCAACTCTTGGGATCTGAAGAGCTCTAGCCTTTGTAACAGAGGAGAATGAAGGGCAGAAAGACTTCTTCCTGGTACACTGACAAGGGACTGACAACCTCTCAATTGGTGGTTCACAGGGATAGAGACCACTGCACTTTCTATCACTTGCAGGACTGCTGGTTTTGAGATTCAATGAACAACAATAGGAAAATATGAATATACTTACGTGGATCTAGTAGCCAGAAAAAGGACAAACTCTGAGATAGTTAAGAAAGGTAGACCCTACCAAAACACAGCTGATGGAAGAAAGAGATGACAATTTGCACCAAAACAAATTTACGAATACATAAGAAAATCTGAGTACAACTCACACACACAAAGACTTCCTTGTAATAATAAATATTACTTGTATTTATTTATATTTAAATTATTTTTTTGTTTTGTTTTGGCTGCATGGCATGTGAGATATTAGTTCCCTTACCAAGGATCAAACTCATACCCCCTGCAGTGGAAGTGCAGCGTCCTAAACACTGGATCGCCAGAGAAATTCCCATGGAAATAATAAATAGTACTTCTAAAGAAAAAATTTCAGTAATATGAATTAAAAGAGGATGACCAGGGTTAAGATAGGAATTGCTGGCCTGAACAATCAAGTGGAAGAAAAACCTTTAAAGATACAAAGAAATGTAAATCTGAGGGAAAAGCTAAGAGAATTGGAACATATATCTAGTAAACCTAACATGTGAATAAAAGAATCTCTGGGAGAAAAGAGAACACCCATAAGTGTGGCACTGATTAAGAAGTATTAGAAGAAAATTTCTCTAAGGTAAAGAAAGATTTGAGTTTGCATATTAAAATAGCTCACCAAGCTCTAAGCAGGATTGATAGGAAATGAAAAAATTTCTAAACTACCAGAACAAGATATTTTAGAAGCTTTAGATAAAAAGACTAATTATTTATTTTTTAAAAAAAAAAAGAAAGAAAAAAGAAAAAGAGTCAGACTTATATGAAATTCCTCATTTACAGCACAGGATGAAACGTAAGATTGAACTAAAAAGGGCTTCTGATATTCTAGCAGTGTCCTTGGGTACTGGTTACAATGATGTGTGCTTTATACAAACTTGTTAGGCTCCATGTTTTATGTACTTTCAGGTATTTTACTTCAAATTTTTAAGTTTTTATTTCAAAGTGCTTAAGAAAAAGTAGAAAATAAAGGGATGGCAAAGAGATATCAGGCAAGAACAAAGCAAGCAGAGGCAGCAATATTAGTATCAGACAAGGTAGAATGTAAAGTTATAGCAATACTGTGACAAGACAAAATTAAAGCTATATGATGAAAAAAAAAAAAATCAGTCTGCACTACATAGCCCAAAAGTTAAATATATACAAAACAAACACTTTTAGAAATGTAAAAATGCACCTTAAAGCTTTTGCTGTGTTTATTAAGTTCCTATTTATTCCTTAAGGAGTAGACATTTGCAAGTCATATATCTGAAAAGGGGTTAATATCCAGAATATACAAAGGACTCCTACAACTCAACAACAACAAAAATAATCCAATTTAAAAATGGGTAAAGGACTTGAATAGATTTCTCCAAAGAAACTATGTGAATGACAACTAAGCATGTGAAAGTGTGTTAGTCACTCAGTCGTGTCCTACTCTTTAAGACCCCATAGCCTGCAGCCTGCCAGGCTCCTCTGTCCATGGGATTCTCCAGGCAACAATACTGGAGTGGGTTACCATTTCCTTCTCCAAGCATATGAAGAGATGCTCAAAAACTTCCAGAAATGTCCAGGACCAGATCATTTCACAGGTTGAATTTTACCAATCATTCAAAGAAATGTAATGCCCATTTGTCTCAAGCTCCTCCAAAAAATTTAAAAGAACACTTCCTAACCCATTTTACAAGGCCAAAATTACACTGATACCAAATCTGAACAAGGACAACATAAAACTCAACAGATCTGGCAGAATGAAAAATGGGCAAGGACAGGGCAATTAACTATCTGCTTATGGATATAATAGAATGTGATATTCTTTGAATAGCAAATATGCTTTTTTTCATATGTTCACAGAACACTCAGAAAAAATTCACCCTATACTTGGCTAAAAAGACAGCAGATTACAGTCTGATCATAACGTAAGAAAAATAAATTTAAAAGGTGACACAAAATGGTTTTTAAGCGCTTGGAAATCAAGAATCCCTCCTAGATAACCCCAGGATTAAAGGTAAAAATCAAAAGAAAGTTATAAACTAGCTAAAAAGCATGACAAAGGGTGACTATAATATAATAAGAACACTTAGAAAATAATGAAAAAGAGATAACAACCCAATAGAAAAATAAGCAAATAATATAAATAAGCGTTTGACTACCTCTCCCAACGGATGGATATTGGCTCATTCTTGCAGCTGACTGACTTCTCCATAAGTGAGCCCTTATTAAGAGGAGACCACTAATCAAAGTGAGAGTATTTCTGAGACGTTTGGTAAAGACTGGACGGGGGAGGAGGTGATAAAAACTAACACCTAAATAGAGCTGTGGGCTCTCAGTGGATTTCCTTTAACGACCCTAGGGCACCTCTCTGTTGGCCTGAATAGATGTAAATGGATGTCGCCTAGGTAGAAAACTTCATTATCGTTATTAATTACGTTCCAGCCCTGGCCCTCTGAGCTCTCGGTCTCGGCAAAGAGCCCAGTCGAGAGACTGGCCAAGCGAATCTCACCTGCAGCCCCAGTTTGCATGGTGATGGGGTCGGCGAGTGTGGGGGCCCTTTTCCAGAGTTGGTGGGGGCGTCGGGCTGCAAGGCGAGTTCTCGAAGAGGTGTTCTCATAGCTGCTTTTCCCTAAGAAAGAAGAGAGGATGAAAGTAAGCCTGGGCTCTGCCAACCGGCCCTAAGAAGCTCTCCTCCCTCCCTCACAAGCTCACGAGCAATAAACAAGAGTAGGCTCCAACCCCAGTGCTCCGAATATCAGGACCGGAAAACTCCACACGCCCCCCGCCTCAGGCTCGACTCTGCTTTCCAAGACGCTCGGCACAGCCAGAGACCCCCGAAACCCCGGTCTAAGTCTCTCGCTCCATGAGGCCCTTCGGCTCACCGGTTGGGGCGAAGGCGACAGGTTGAGTTTTTTCACACGCCACATCTTCAACACAGAACGCGGGGTGAACACCTCCCACATGTAAGAGACGACGCCATGCCTACCCGCCGTCTTTATTTGAACCTGCTTCACGCTTCCCGATTGGCTGCGAAGCCTCAGTGCGTCAGGCGGGCGCGTCGGCTCCGGACTCGGGCCCGGCGGGCAAGGGCGGGGCTTGCATTGGCCCCGCCCGGCCATGTCCACTGTGGGCGCGCGCTCGTGTGCCCTGCGGTCTGATCCCCAGCATCAACCCTCGATGCGGGCGGTGGGAGCGTGGGGCTCAACGCCCAAGGCCAGTCTTTCGGCCTCACCTCCGAGAGCGTAACGGGTAGCTGGACGGTCGAGGAACCCATCTCTCTAGCTTCGAGAAGGCCACTCTCACTCCCAGTCAAAAAAGTTGTCCCCGTGGCCTGGCCTTAGAAGTCTCTCCCTCAGGTTTTCCACGGTTACTTTAGCCGTGACCGGCAAGAGCCGGCCGAGGGGTCTAGAAGGGAAGGTGAGTGGAGTGGTTTTTTTTTATTTTTTTACTTAGGTTGCTCGGTCCGCGAACAGGACCTGCTTCTGTGATGGCGTCAAACAGCCTGCGCTGTCATTTAACCTCTCCAGAATTTCTGGTGTTTTCTTGGGACTTACCTCAGAGCCCGCAACAAGTTTACTGGAACAGTCATAGCTTACAAGTATTTGGACATTTATTAGGCACCTGGCACTCTTCCAGATGCCTTTTATATCTTATCTCCTTTAATCCTGAAAAGAGCTATGAAATTGGTGCTGTAAATATCCCCGTTTTACAGACACAGGAACTGAGTCACACGTAATGTCTTTTGTCCAATGCCCCGCAGGTAGTAAGTGGCAGGGTACAGATTGCCACCCACACTACCAACTATATTCTACTGTCGCTTGAGACCCGTGTGGGAAACTAGCTACTGGAGATGGGATTGATTTTGGAAAACAGCCTAAAGGTAAGTATTTGGAGTTATAGTTTATTATAAAGTCTGTTTGGTTGAACACTCGCAGGCACGTTATTGACACTCTGAAGTCATAATGAATTTGGAAAAGGCAATAGCCCAGGGAGGAAAAACCATGTTATGAACTTCAGGGCTCTCAGGGGATGGGCTCTTCTGTATTATCCAGTAAGAGAGCCACTAGCTACATGTGGCTACTGACACTTCAAATGTGGCGAGTCCAACTGCGACTGTAGGAGTAAAAAACAAACTGGATTTTGAGGACTTTGTTTGAAAAAAAAGAATACCTTATTTTAAAATGTTGATTACATGTTGTGAAAGTCGCTCAGTTGTGTCCAACTCTTTGCAACCCCCATGGACTGTATAGTCCATGGAATTCTCCAGGCCAGAACACTGGAGTGGGTAGCCTTTCCCTTCTCCAGGGGATCGTCCCAACCCAGGAATTGAACCAGGAGGATTGCAGGTGGATTCTTTACCAACTGAGCTATGTTGAGATATTTTTAGATATATTGGGTTAAATAAAATGCAGCACCATAGACCAGATGGGTTAAACAACAGAGATTTATTTTTTCACAATACTGGAGCCTAGAAGTCAGATCAAGGTGTCAGCAGAGTTGGCTTCTTCTGAGGCCTCTTACACTGAGATATTTGTTGGTGGATCAAGTCACCAGGTCTCCTAAATTCCATTCTAATACTCTTTACTGTTTTAGAAGCCATTAGTTTCTATTTCTAGTATTGGTTTTTTATACAATGTGAAGTTCTGGTCATGACAACTTTAGAAGTATGTAATAAAGCTTAAAAAGTCTCTGAAGAGAAACAAATGAGATAGTCAAAAGGCTTAAGGATACATTATTTCTTTATATATCAACCTAATTCTAAAAGGCTTACAAAGATGGAGGTAATCTACTAAGATTTTTAAAAAAGGATTAAAACAGAAAAATGAAAATAAGAAAAGTAAAGGCAGAAAAGGAGGATGGAACCAAGAACATGGCTAGCATACAAAACATAACATGAGGTCCTAAACACTTGTTGGAAGTGGACCACAAACTGGGCTCTCAGTGGTCTAGCATCATATGAAAAGAAAAATAGACTCAGTTGAATATAAATTGTCTTTAAGATAAAAACCAACCAGCAATTGAGGAAAAGCACAATTGGGTTCAGAGAAAATTTTCTCACATACATCCATATATAGAACATTATGATCTATAAACACCCTTTACAGTATCCACAGCAATTAAATTTCATAGGGATTTTCATATGGATTATCAAAGTATAATTCAGAAAAAGCAGTTCTGCAGAGGTCAATAAAATGCCAGCTATGTACAGGGAAAATCTGGCTTAAACCAGGGGGACAAAATTAATAAACAGTACTTGAGTACTTCCCAGACTCTCTTCAGATATGACTGAAGAATAATGAAAGTGAAGCTTTTAGGAAGTTAAAGAAAAATGAAAAGAAGTCATGAAGGCCAGAAATGTATACAATTTTAAGGTTCAGATTATGTTCCTAAAGGAAAAGGTTCTTGAGTTCCATCTCTTATCTTAAATCTCAAAGTTGATGTCATGCCTCTTAATCCATTGGTTTGCACATCAGAAACTAAACCCTTGGCCATCTAGGGAAGAGGTCAGTTTAAGAATACTTATGTCTTTCAAAGAGGTTTTGTTTTGGAAAAAATGTGGATAGTTATTCCAGTTACCCCTAAAGAAGACATGTAACCCCCCATGTTTCATTTCTTATTCTCTTCCTCACAGTATGCTATTAGATTTAACTTTTTAAATTTTTAAAAATTAGACTGACTTTGGGCCCTAAATCATATGTTTTACCTGCATATTTAGGGGTTGAAATAAATGCTAGCTTTTGAGACCTCGGAAAAATATTCATACTGCTTCTGACAAGCCTATTAAACACATAAATAGCACCTTGGGAACCCATGAAATGTTTTGCTCATGAAAGGAAACATGGCACAGAAACAAGAAGGAAAAGTGGAATAAACTTCTGGCTAAAAACTGCAGGGTATAAGCACCGGAGAACTGAAATAAAGGTAAAGGTCCACACTCTGATCTGAGACTGAGATAAGCTGTATGATGAGGTAAGGACTAGGGCATCATGGCTGCCAACAGAACACCCAGTCTGAACTCTGGTTCAACACCTAAAGGAACAGAGTGATAAGAGGCTACAAAGTAAAAACAAACTGATCATCAGGTGGTCACAGTGAGCTGGCAGTGGAGGAAGTCCTCAAGTTCCTGGATGGGCCCCAACTCCAGTAGAGAAGCTCAAGCCAGCCTTGGGTGGACCAGGAAGGACTCCAGATTACAGTCAAAGTCCTTGAAAAACATGGACTCCGATGATGGACTAGACTGGGCAGCTTGTGTCTCCAAGACAAAGTTCACTGGATGCTTCTGTAGGAGCTCTGGGTCAAAGGCCACACCCCGGAAGAAAGGGTGGACCTGGAAGTGATGCAAATAACGTAGACGGTGAAGGGGATCCTGGTGTAAGAGCTGAAGGAAAACAGAACATGAAGGAGGAGAGACTGGGGTATGAAAGGGATGGAACAGAGAAGCTGGAAAAGGAGAAAGAAGTTCATGGATCTGTGGAGGGCAGGGAGAAGAACCCAAAAGAATAGAGGATATGTAAAAGTGGGGGAAATAGGCTAATTTGGGGGCAGCAGTAGGAATAAAGGAGCTGTATTGATAAGAGAGCAGCACTCTCTCAGAAGTGACCTGCTATGGATGGGGACAAGCTTTGGAGGATCAGGAACTCAGGTATAAAGTCTGAAGTGCTAGTTAGAAGGCAAGTAGTGACGTAGTACTTGATCAAGTTGGAATAGCCCCCATACCTGCCCATCACCAATAACTAATCAGAGGATTGGGGACATACCACTTCAGTGATAGGGAAAGAAATTAAGGTTTTGGTAGTGAAGTCGTGCTCGCCCTTACCTCGCGGAGTAGGAGTGAGAGCCCCTGGTTAAGGGAAGATGGGATCTCAGAGTCATAGTGGGTCACACTTGCCAACATGGCCACATGATCTCTCTCTGCTGGCACTGGGAACTGAGTTAAGGGGTGGGAAGATGTCATTGCTTAGAATGAGGGAAGATTTCTTAACATCTTTCTTCCCACCAGAAAGCAACTCCTCTTCTTTGCCCAACGTCACTACCATTCTCTCACCTTTCCAGTTGACAGAGAAAAAAGCAAGACACCCAGGGACCACCAGTCAGCAGCATGGTTGTAAGGCCCTCCACTCAGGACCTCGGGCGCTACAGATTTGAAAGATACTTGTCACTGACATCTGTTGGCTTTCCTCCTGCCTACTGCTTACCCATCAGCTTTAGCCTCTCCCTCACCCATGTACTGAAGAGTGCCACAGATAGTATAGGCTCGGGCTCCTTGGGGCAGGTGGCGGGACAAACCAAAGTCTGTCAGTTTCAGATGGCCTGTGAAAAACAAGGCATCAGCACCACTCTGTTCCAACCCTCATCAGTCATGACTTATTTCCAAACTTCGGTGCCTCTTACTCTGGAACTAGAAAAAGAAATGACTTACCTCGTTCGTCCAGAAGGATATTCTCCATCTGAAAAACCAGAGGTGAGAAGTTATTATTCATTCTCTTCCTTTCACCCCTTTTTCATCATGTGTATCCTCAGCTGAAGAAGATGCCCTTGCTCAGCAGCCAAGTCTATACTTGGAGGGCCCTTGCCCAAATCCTTAACAGCCACGAGGGTCCCAAGGTCAACTGTTCTCAGCAGCTCCTCCCACCTTCTTGGATCTATTGGAATGTCTTACTGAAGTCCCTCCTCAAAAACAAAACATTCAATTACCTTCACATCTCGATGGATGATGCCCAAGTCATGGAGATAGCCTGTGGATGACAGCAAGCATGAGGGTTACTGAAGCTCTTTGTCCTAATTTCCCTGATAGCTCCCACCCCATTTCTATCCCTGTTGACTTCAGCTCTCTCCTGCCTCCTCCCTCCCTCCTTAATTCCTTCCTCATTTCCATTACCACTCCTGTTTCACTTACACAGCACCAGGATCAGCTCAGCAGCAAAAAGGCGGATGGAAGCCTCAGTCAAGCGGCCAACAGCAGACCACACGGAGTACAGATCTGTGCTGCAGTAGCTGCACACTGCAAAGCACCAGAAGTCTGGGCGATACTTGGGGCCTACTGTGCCTGGGCGCAGGGCACTGTATGCCTGCTGCCCAAACCGATGCCACCTGCTGTCCCCTCTCCCTCTGGGAGAGAGCAGTACTACAAGAAGGGGAACAGAGCAAAGGCAGAACAAGCCAAAGGGATGGGTAATCTCAGGTGGGAGTACAGCAAAAGTACCCTTGGGAATAAGGAGAGAAGCCAGTTACTCACTAATGAAGAGGTGTCGTTTTCCCTGCCAGCTGTCCCCCATACTGTGTACAAAAGGATGGTTGATCTGTCGCTATGGACGAAGAAGTGAGGAACATTGAGGGTCACTGAGGATCAAGGCAGCCAGAAGTCAGGCTTTACCTAGTTGTGCAGAAAGGAAGCTGCTGCCCCACCTCTCAGTTCAGGCTGCCTGCCTGGTACCCCACTACTAAGGAACACACTGGATTTGCTGGAGAGTTTTCCCCCAGGACCTAGAATCACTCTACCGATAGCTGCATTTCCTGAGATCTTCCGGTTACAGCAGAGGGAGGGGTCAGAGCCAGGAAAAGCAAGCTAGCTGGACAAAGAAGGTGCTTCCTCCACCTGCCGTTTGGTTCTTCCGAGGAGCCTTTCCAGAGCTGTGTGCACACTGCGTACCTGGATGCTGACCTCCTCTTTGCACTGCCTCAGGACGTCCCTCCGTAGGACCTTCACCTTGGGCACCACCTATGAAAGGAGAGGAGTGATGCTAGGGGAAGTGTTATTAAAATTGTTTATTCCTCCAACCTCTCCAGAATCAAGGCTGGAGGCAGGGACTAGAGAATATGGGAGTATCTAGGTCCCTACCTTCACTGCAAATACTGCTTTCTGGCCACAGTCTAGCACCTTGAGGACCGTTCCAAAGGAGCCTTTAGCCACAAGGCCTAAAATCTGTACAGATAAGTGGAGAACAGGGCAGTTGAGACTCTTGTTTCTTGATTTCTCCCCAAGACTGAGACCCCTTCCAGGGATTCCACTGACCTACCTTTAGCTGCTGATGCCCCCTAAGAGGCCTAATAGGAAACTCCGGCAGAAAGAGGTTGATGAGCTGAGGCACTGGCCATTCAGGCAGCGGCTTCTCTACTAGCAGTGGGGCTGGCTCCAGGGGCTCCCGATGCAGGAACTGATGCCCCCGTAGTCCCCACAGTTCTTTCACACCTGACCTTGTGGTCCCCACACCTGACCAGAGGCTCTTCCAGCCTTGGACCCAGGGGCCCTGGATGTTGCCACCCTGCTGAGAACCAAAGGAGCCACTAAACTTTCTGCCCCTGAGGCATTACAGGTTCTGCCCGTCTTAGCAGGCACTCCCTCAAATCTCAACCCTAAAGACATAGATTTGGCCCAGGCAAGATGGCTACTGCCCTTGCATCAAGCCAAGGTCTGGATTTCCTGGACACAATTAAAATCCTCTAGGAAAGCAATATTTGGACATTCCCCCCATATGGCATCAGAAATTCAGCCTGCACCTCTCAGTATGGGGCTGGGATAGCTACTTTGATAGTAAAGCCTCCCTGCCCCACCCCCACAGTGGACAACACTGTCACCGCCAATTACCAGGCCTTAAGTACATGCCTCTTTCACCTCCCCTAAAGAAGCTGCCAGAGGCCCCACACCCTACCTTATGAGAAGCAGCCGTCTGGGCATGGTGCCCCTGCCGGCAGCTCACTGCTCCCATCCCCAGCTTCTGCCTCCTCTCTCCTTCTGCTACATCTGCTGCCCCAGTTACATAAGCAATTCCTCCCCCAGTGCTGTTATACACAAGCCCCGCCTCTTCTCCTTGCTGTTCAAACTAGAGATGCAAATGATGCAGTCAAACCTCACCCTTATCCCCAAATCCTATCGCCCTGGTGAACAGCTTAGAGCCAAGACTAAAATATGCAGACATCTGTCAGCATGGGACCCATGTCACATAAGAGCTGGGAAATATCTGAGATACAGCTTCAGGTAGGAAGGAAGAAGCCACCCTCAAGAGTGGCAGCTAGGATTGGTGGTTTCTTGGATTGATGGAGAGAAAAGGATACAGGCTGAAACCATACACTCAATACAATTAGAAAAAAAAAAACAGCATCAAATTTAAAATATATTTTTTTCTCTTTAAATCACTTTTTTTTTTTTAACCATTCTTCAGGGGATAGCCCAGGGAGAGAGATCCATGGCCAGCCCTGTCTCCTACTGCCATTCTCCAAAGTGAGCTTGGCACAGTTTGGGGAGGGGCTGATTCCCCCAGAACACTAATACCACTTTCATACAGGGTGGTGGGATGAGGGACAGATGATCAGCCCCTCCCCTCCACTTTCTGGCACATAGGGAGAGCAGTTACACTTACAAATATATATATATATATGTATTTTTTATATATGCCTATTTATAAAAATTTATCACACTTGATCAGAACTGTCCCCCCCCCCCAATCCTTTCAGTTGATCCCAAGGGAACCAGATTCTGGCCTTGGAGCCGTTCCCTGGGTCTTGCTCTCTTGATGCCTCTCTGGCCCTGGCCCTGCTGATCAGTGTGAGGTAGAACTCAGCATTATCCATCATGGTCTGCAAGGAACCAGCCAGCTGTTAAAGAGCAGGGCCTCTCTCCACAGCACCCTGTGGGCTCCTGATCCCCACAGATCCTAAAGGATGAAGGGAAACACCTCCCACCCCACAAGTCCCTGGGGCCTGAGTCAGAGTCAGATCCTGTACTGCAGCCTCTCTTGGATTGCCGGATCACTTGCGCCTGCCAAAGATGGACTTCTTCCCAGGATTCTTGTTGCCCACACTTAAACCGATGAGGAGCCGGGCTTTCTCCTCCTCTTCCTGCTGTTGCATGTTGAGGTCTGATTTAGTTTCTAGTTTTCCCCGGACCTCAGACCCTGTTGCAGGCTTCAGCCTTAGCTTCTCTTTGATTACCTGATAGGTTAGAGAGGAGTAAAAGGGAAGGTAAATATTAATGGGACAGGCAAAGTAAGGTAAGTGGACCAAGTCAGTATTTATTAAACTTACATGGACACACAATGGGGGCAATTCAGATTATTAAACGATCTCTGCTCTCAAGAAGCTTACAGTCTATTAGAACCCGTTCTAAACATGAATTTATGTCAGTCCTCACTTCCCTAAAAATCAACAGTAGTTAACATATATGAAACACTCAGTAGACATTCAATTTAACCATCTGAGCAAAGTCATGGAGAGGATAGGAATAAAAATCACTCCATTCACGTGCCCCCTTCCCATGGCTGCCTGGTAACACATACATGTTACAACAAAATGCCCCTGAGCAGAGGATCTGCTTGCCAGCCTCTGCTAACCAAACAGCCATGAACTCTGCCGGGATACCTGGGCAACCAGGGCTTTGCGGCTGTCCCTCTTGACAGCCATGGCAAAGTCTAGCCACGTCCATGTGTTGTTATGGTACTCCAGACAGGGCAGCACCAGGTTAAGGTCACCCCAGTCCACGCTGTTCTTCTCACCCTGCAAGAGAAAGAGTGAGAGGGAAGAGAAGAGAAAAAAAATATATCAGCTGCCATTTTTAGTCCAAGCCAGTACTTGAGTCCACATCTGGTATCTTTCTGCAGCAGCAACCTACAGATAGTGATTTCTCACTATCTCAGTCTGATACTGATTCCTAAGGGAATCCAGAGGGAATAGCACATTACCCACAGACCACCTTCACTATCTCTGTTTTTAATCTCTGATCTTATCTGGTACCCTTTCCATACTGTTCTAACAAAGTGCTGGGGAAGGGCAGACCTTGTAGCTGACGCACAGTGGAACCTGTGGGATCTTTATATAGATGAAGGAGTTGTTCATGGCAGCTCGCTCTTTCATCTTGTCAATATCATCGACAGGGTGCTAGGAATAGAAGGAAAGAAGTGTGTACCCCTCAAGCCATCACAGGAAATTCAGGACCCCAAACATCTCCAACTCCTTTCATCCCTGGAGTAGACTCAAAAAGAAACAAAAGAAATCCCCAGCCAGGCCAAACAGAGTACCCTAGGACTCTCCCATTTTCCTATTATCAGGGGCATGTCTGGTACCTCAGGTGCTTTGCGAAATGACCTTCTGACCCCAGAACTCCGATTCAAGCCCTGTGCCACACCCTTCCCAGGGCCCAGTGGTGCTGTATCATCTGTTGCAATCAGCTGCCGAGGCTTCACCACTGGTATTCCTACGAAAAAGCAAGTACACTAGCTGTTGTCCTCCTTCGGAAGCTTCAGCCGTCTCTGGGGCTGTGACCCCAGTCCTCTGGAGCTCCCCATTAAAGTTCTCACCAGTAGTCACCAGTTTGGACTTATCTTCTTCATCACCAACCTCATCATCTTCCACACTTCGGCCAGGAAAGAAAAAACCCATTATTCTATGGAAGAACTGGTGTGTCAGCTGGATGGTGAGAGGCACCACATTTACCTAAAGAGGAGAAAGGCTGAAGAAGCAATTAAGCTCAGACATCATCCCTCAGTTTACCTATCCCTAATGTAACAACGCACAGAGAGCTTTTAACTGCCTTGTGTTCCTGGGTCCCCAAAGGAGTGTTTGCTAACCTCAAAGTGCTCCTTAACAGAAATACCCCCAACTGGGGGCCGGACTTTGCTGAAGAGGCGAAGGGCCAGTTGTCGCCCAGACTGGCAGGAACTCTGGGGCCGCAGGACTACCTGTAGGATAGACAGTGATAAGTCAATCCACAAATCCTCTGCAGGCCAAGAAAAGCAGCAATGGTCTTGCTAAACTAGGCAAGTTTCCATCTCACATCACCACATTCTTTCCCATAGTTGGGTTTATGTGGAAGTGTCATTGCAAATGCCCAGTGTTAGGAAGCCTGTAAATGGGCTAGGAATAGGGAACTAAGACTTACCTTATAGACAGCATTAGGGAGGAGATTGTTCATAGTGAACCAGCCCAACTCCAGAAGATGTTCTGCTGTGTCATCAGATTTATTCACCTATAAAAACAGATCGCAACCCCCAATCCACTATAATAAGCCTTTCTCAGGAGCTTGCCAGAGGACTGCTACCTGTATCATTTGTTTTCAGGTTCTACATATGCTTTTGCTATGTCTTTCATTCTTAGAGTCAATGCACCCTCTAATCCAGTATTTCTAATGGGCACTGATGGCCAGGGCACTAACTGCCAACAATACTTTCCAGTCCCTATGACATTAAAAAATGGCCTCAACACATTTCCAAACATCTCTAGGGGAGATGGAAGAATAATGAAGAAAGTCCTGTCCTCCATGCCAAGGGTAACTGCAGGAAAGATGTACACCAGTACAGAATTAATGATTCTATTATAAGCTGGACTTGGGAGACTACTTTCCTCTGGCCATATAGAATAATTACCTCCTTCAATGAAGGAAGCATTGGATCAAGCTCATCTGTATCTCTATTATTTACTATCACAAACAAATGTGTGTGAGAGGTACTCTCTGCTCATGTTTCTATCATTATTAATAACCACGCATACCACCAATAACAATAAAATAATAGTCTCTCTTTGTGAGTTAAGACTCCTGAGAAAGGTCAATGCCTCTTAATACAGCTGTCTTTGTGTGACTGTATATACCCAATACCTTGCTGTAGAGGAAGCGCTGCAGCTCCAGTTCAGCAATCCCTAGCTGTCCGTCTTCCTCGGTCAAGCGCCATCGTGCCTGAGCAAAGTAGAATTCGGTGCGGCGGACCACACTCACATCCTCTTGCTGCTTTCGCAGTTCCATCTTGTTGGCCTGCTGCAACTGGAAATCTTTAAAACACCTATAAAAGGATAGGAAGGTCAAAGCCAATATGGGCAACAGCATTTGGGTTAGAGGTGGGGTGGAATGCCCTAGAATGATGCAGGAGGTAAACCCAGAGATGGACCTAGTCTAGAACAACTATTCCCTAAATATTTTCATTGGATTCATTGTTTCTCACATTCTGCCATGTGAGCACAAATGCCATCTTCAGTTCTACAGCTTCTTGAAGTAAGCTGCTCCTACTAATAACCCCTACGATTATATCTGCATATGTGTTCCCTACTGATCAACTTCAAAACATTTTATTTTTAGTTCAGTTGCACAGCATCATGGCCACAAAAATGATCTTTCTGAACTACTTGTTTTTCTCCTTTTCCCTGAGGTACTCTAGTAAGGATCCTAAAAAAAGGGCTCTCCTGTTCTCAACCTGTTGGCCAAGTCTAACAAGGCTCATTCAAGAAAAGGTGCCTGAATCTACTACATCAGCCTTTGATAACACACACTAGACCTAAAGACTATCAGAATGCAGGCAAAAGAAACTGACTCCATCTTGGGCACTGGAAAAGGGCATAGGGAGAATGCTGTGGCACCTGATGAGGATATTAAGCTCTTCACTTTCCAGCTGTAGGTTGGCCTTCTCCTGGTTTAGCTGCAACTGAAGCTTTAGGTTCAGGTCAAGCAGGTTCTCATTCTTGCTATCATCCTGCAAAGACTAGGGAGCCAGAACAGGAGAAACTGAGAGATTTCCCATGTCTTAGGAGACCTCCCTACCCTCACACTCCCTACCCCAGGAGACTACCTTCATGATAGAATACATCTGCTTTTCCAGCTGCCGTATCTGCGCCACATGCTGCCGCACTGCCTCCTGCAGATGTAATATGCTACTGCGCTGCTCCTCAGGATTGCTAGAGATCTCAAGCTGGAACCTGACCCGCTGCTTCTTCTCACTGTGCTCCTAAAGGAACAGAAAAGGAAATGAACAAGAGACAAGCCTTGCAGTAAAGTAAAATATAGAGAGGAACAAGAAATGATGACCTCTTCCGGAATGTTCACCTTCATCTGTCACCATTAGTAGCAAGAGTAAGGAGTAAGCCAATGCAGAAGATTTGGCAATGCGGATTTCACAATAAGCCAGTTCCACAGGGGAGGCACAGAGGTGGAATTGGGGAGCAGTTTGATGTTTTTCGAGGTAAGTGACTGAGTAAAGAAAAAACTGACCAAGAAAAACAAGGGACACTCAGACCTTTCCTAGATA